GTTTAAACTAACCTACTCTGACTTTCCTTAAAGAGTGACCTGTAACATATTAACTGAGTTAAGTGAGTTACATTTTCTTTGTTTTTATTTTTTGTAACAAGAAAGTCAATAATAAATAACTCCAATGATAAAAAAAAAAGCAAAAGTTTAATAAAAATATGTAAAAACAACATGCAGAGTGTAATCATTTGTATGGAAGGAGACCACTGGCCAAATCATTCCTGATCTTCCAGCGAAGTGCTGACCGTTTCTTCTCTGTTGGCACGATGTAGGTGTTGGGTACGTAAACTCTCCGAGGTTTAGGCTGCAAAGACGAGGGATAAACTGTTTAACCACTAAAGCTGATCACTTTCGGATGTTCTGAGTCTCCAACTGTGATCTATGCAACAGCAGGCTCAGATATGTAAGCCACTTAAACAGTTGAGAGACGTTTTGTGTAGAATTTTGATCTCAGTTCTTTACACATCAAGTTAAAGGAAAATTTAGCTCTGTTTGGCAAGTGACCGTTGTGTTTGTTACACGTGGTCAAAGAGATTCAAATAGAAATCTTACTCTGAACACAGTGCTACCTTTATTTACCCTTTAACACTTCTCAGAACATCCACACTCTCCTATAAACAGCTGCCCATTGTGTTCTTGGAAAATATTTGCAGAATGTGTAAAGATCCAAAGATAAGATCCAACCACAGAGGGTTAAGACTTTAAAGGACGGAGATAAAACAATAAACTCTTGTTTCAGACAAAATCTGAAATAAAGAGCTGCAGGTCATTGCACTTGGGACATATTTGCATTTCTTACAAATTCATCCATGAAATAGATGTACACTACCAGTCAAAAGGTTGAACACACCTTCTCATTTCATGTTTTTCATTTATTTTTATTTTTCCTCTGATACATTTTAACCTTCCGGTTGAGTGAACGCTGGCGCGACTTGCTGCCGCTACTCATCGCTACCGGATTCCTGTCCTGTTCCTGTCTCTACGGCCCACCGGTGTCTCTGTCCGGTTCTTCCTGTCCGTGATGTGGCCTCTCAGGATCTATGCACTGTCTGTGTGGGTCTGGATCTTTATGTCATCGATCTTCTGACTTTGCACTGGGATCCATCAGTATACAGCTGATGAGCTCGTCCAAATTCCAAAAATACACCTAGACTTGGTCCCTAATGCTCAATGTAGCTCTTCTGTCTTAATTCCACCCCCTTCTCACTTCCTCTCTGTTTTTCAACTTCCGTCTTTAATTAATATTGCTGAGCTCATCCACAAATCAAAGCCTTCTACCTGCCAGCTTGATCCTATCCCCACTGTCCTTGTCAAAGCCTGTTTACCCCCTCTCCTTCCCCTCATATCTGCTATTATTCACTCTTCACTCACCACTGGAACTGTTCCTTCTTTCAAAGTTGCCGCCATTACCCCAATCCTGAAAAAAACAGGTCTAGATCCCAACAACTTTAACAATTTTCGTCCTATCTCCTAGATTGGAGATAGGACTCATTCCTCTCAAAAATTCTTGAAAAAATAGTTGCTTCACAAGTCCATCTACACCTAACTGATAATAACCTTTACGAACAGTTCCAGTCTGGTTTCCGTCCTCTGCATAGCACCGAAACTGCTCTTATAAAAATAACAAACAATCTTCTTATGGCAAGCTGATTCTGGTCTCCTC